GAAAAGATAAATATTTCTTCCTTCCTGACCCCTCTTGAATTGGAAATATTTGGGAGTATTCTTATTTTGTGGCAGAAAGATTATTTGCATAAGTTCAATAATTCTTCGCATTGAATCAGAAATTGAAAATACTCATTTTTGGACAGGGAATTTCCTACCTGAAGATTAATCAGAAAACTATGAAACTAAGGAGGATCTAGAGAAAGCCAACAGAAGCTCTTGGAAAGATGGCCTGGCACCATAAATAGATCTGCCTGGCAGAACAGAAAGGATTACAGAAGACATATGAAAGAATTTATAACATAAAATAACCTGGACTTTTCAGCCCTGCATTGTAATGAGTAGAGACCGCAAAAGAGCAACTATATCAGAGGATTATCTTGAGAAAGACTTTGAAGGAAGAAAAAGAGAGTGATCTTTGCTAGCAGATGGTATATCACAGAATACTTGGTAGGCAGGGCTGAATTAAGAAGGTTTATGTGTGACTAGTATGTTGGGCATTTGCTTTTCAACAATTTGAGTAGTTGACATGTAAATATTTTCTCAAAAATATTTAAAACCATACTGTCTCTGTTGTTATAGAGTTACAAACAAAATTATACAAATTATAAAAAATATTTTGAACATTATCTTTAAAATTCAGTATTCTGGAAATTTTGAAAGGTGTTTATTAACTGTCAAGAACTATGGAGTACGAGCAAAAATTTTTTGATATGTAAAGAAAATGTTTGTGGAAAAATGTAAAAATAAATAAATAAATGGAAAAAATTTAAAAAAACCTTAAAATTGAACTTTAATATATATATTATTTCTTAAGCACTAGACAGCCCAGAACACAAACTTCAAAGAACATGGAAACCTGAAATTTCATGCAGAGTTGACATATAAATCTCAATTTCATCAGTTTACTCACTGTTGTCACTTATTTTAAAAGGAACACAAGAGAATCTTATACAGGACTTTGAACACTGGAATGAGGGCCAGCAGGTAGCACAGCAGTTAAGGTATTGGATCTCACATGGCCAAATATGTGGTTCAAGTCCCAGATGCAGTGACTTAAAAATCATGATGGATCTGTGTACATGTGTGGCCAAGATCCCAGAGGAGAATGGAAGAGAAGGGTTTGCAGTGTGGCCATTCCCCTTTGTGGGGTTGGTTTCACAACTCCCCCTCTTCACCTCTCTCTGTTAAGAGCACATGACCTATAGTAAAAAAAAAAAAAAAAAACCTGGAATGGATTCGTGAGAAAATATATTATATTTTCTAAAGTACAAACTGAAAGACTGACTAGAAAATACATATTTAATGAATAATATTAGTAATTTTAAATCACATATTATGGAGAAATCTGAAAATTAAAAATAAGTCGAATTGAATGAAAATTTGGAGTTACATAATGTAAAAGGGATGATTTAATTTCCCCATTCTACAGATGAGAAAAACTGAGACAGCTTTCTGTAGAAGATCAAAGATTAGCACTCGGGGGCCAGCAGATGGTGTGATGGTTAAGGCTCTGGACTCTTACATGGCTGACCATGGTTTGAGTCCAGGCCCTGGTGGCTTGCTTTCTCACTTTCCCTCTCTCTCACTCTGTTACTCTCTGCTGAGCACACATGCCCCATAGCAAATTTAAAAAATAAAAAATAAAATACAATAAATAATTATTTAAAGAAAAAAAAAGATTAACACTCAGGTATTCTGGCTTCTAATTGGATGTTCATTCAATTACACCACACAGCGTAGTTGTTCAGGGCTAAGAGTCGAACACAATGCTTTCTCTGTTTTTCTAATGTTCAAAAGACAATGACAAAATCCTGGTTTGTTTATACTATAATGATCAGCCTATTGGACTTATTCTGTAATAAAATAATTTGGCTTCATCATTAGCAGATATTAACTACAAGCAATTCCTTTTATATTAAATTTTATTCTACATCAAACTGTTGCTTAAAAGCTTCAGGGCCTTGTAATATACATACAACAATCTCTGAGTTCTTTACTTATTATATTTTATTAAAATATATTTTAATATTTTTTAAGTTAAAACTTAAAAAAAATTTAAACTTATTTATTTTATTTCTTCCATGAGAGAGATACTGAGAGACAGGCTCCCCCAACATGGTCTTCACACTGTGATCCATCCCCAGCCTCAGCCAGCCTGTATTATGGGCAAATGAGCATGTTCAGAGAGTTCCCAGAGAACAAACCCAGAACTTTCCTCATGTGGATCCAGTTATATATATTACTGTTGTGACATCATCATCTTGCCTCTAGGCAGGCTTTCATGGACTATTTTTTTCCCCTAAATTAAATAAGGCTAATTATGCTGAAACTATACTATTTAAGATGGTAGCCACTAGGCACATGTGACTAATTAAGAGCTTAATACATGTGGGTAAGTCCAAATTTGTATGTGCTGTAAATTTAAAATTCATACTAGATTTGGAAGACTTACTATGAAAAAAAGTAAAATATCTCGTTAATATTTTTATAGTGACTAGATATTGAAGTAATAATATTCTGTACATACTAGGTTAAACAAAACATTAAAATTAATTCTACTTTTTAAAGTTTATTAATGTAGCTATAGAAATATAATTACATATCTAGTTTGTATTATATTTCTATAGGACAGCTCCAAGTTTTCAATAATAAGTATTTAGGTGTTATGGATAAATAGTTCATATATTCTTTAAAAGTAAGTTAATAGTACCTATAGAACCAAAAGTCAATTTCTATGCTAAAGAAAAAACAATGTGGAAAAATACATTAAAGATACAAATTTCAGTTGGCTTTAAAAATGTATTTTTCCCCAGATTTACATTTTTGGTTTTGGTTAATACAGTTTAGATTCCTTGAACATCCATAATAATCCTGATAATAAAGGAAGGTGGCCCAGGAGCATGGCAGAAAAAATAAAAGCCAGCCTCTGCCTGTTCAATCCATACATAGCTGTAAATGGACTAAATTAAAAGCAAATGTCAACATAGGACACCAGATACTCTATAAATATTCACTGGCTTGGGTCTAACTTTAAAGATTTTAGCAATTTAACATGACTGAATTTTAAGATTCAGCAATGTAACATGGATGTAACAAAACATTTATAATTTATACCTTTGCTCCATCTGAAATATTGTCCCAGTTTCCACCACTCAAAGAGAACTTTCCATTGCCTATTCGTAGCAGGATCTCTTCAGGAGTATCACTGGGGCCATTAGCAAATGGAGTGTAGCTTAATAAAATAAATTTTAAAAGACATGAGAGGATAACATACATATGAAATATAGTTGAAAATGATGAATATAAGTCTACATGCAAATATTCACTACAGTAAATTAATATTATCTATTATTTCCCTTCATTGTAATATAAAATTTTGTATTTCAGGGACCAGCAGTTAGCATAATGGCTAAGTCGCTGGACTCCCATATAGTCAACCACGGTTCTCATCCCGGACCTGGTGGTTTAAAACTCATGCCAGGCAAGTGTGCGTGCATGCCCAAGATCATGAGAGAATAATGGAGGAGAAGGGATTGCAGCATGGCCATGACCCCTGGGGTATGATTTCTCGCTTTCTATCTCTCAGTCTCTGTCTGTCTGGCGAGTGCACGCGCCCTATAGCAAAAACCTCTCAAAAAAATTTTTTTTGTATTCCAAACAATTCATATAATCCTAACAAATTATTTGATAAAATGGAGAATCTTGCCTATATTGATTTTTTAAAAAATATTGAATAATTAATTAATTAATTAATTTTTTAATTTGACCAGAGAGAGACAGAGAGAGAGGGGGAAATGAGAAAGCAACCTGCCAGGTCCAGGACATGTGGGATTCCAGCACCCCAAACACCATGCTATCTTCCAGCCCCCATCTATATTGATTTTTTGTCAAATAATTCATATAAAATAAAGTTGGCTTTTCATGTAAATCACCAGTCTTTAAACTAGATTACAAAAGAAAACACAATTTCTCCCAGACAAAAGTTATCAAATAAATATACCTTTTAGGAAGATGTTAAGTTTACATACTTTTACAAAGTATTTATAATATTGGTTCGGTTTATTCATAAGCATTTTTTGAGAGATTTTTGGTAGAGGATGTGCATGCTCATCAGGGAGACTGAGCAAGAAATCACACAACAGGGGGGATGGCCATGCTGTAATCCCTTCTCTTCCATTCTCTTGGGATTTGGGACATGCACACATATGTGCCCAGCATGAGTTTCAAGCCACCGGGTCCAGACTCAAACTACAGTGGGCCATATAGGAGTCTAGCAATGTAACCATTATAGCATCTGCTGGCATAATTTTAATTAATGTCTTAAAAAATAAATTAGTTTGGGGTTGGCAGGTGGCATGGTGATTATGGCACTAGACTCTCACATGGCCAGCCACAGTTCAAGTCCTGGACCTGGAGTTTTGCTTTCTTATTTTCTCTCTTTCTCTGTGTGTCTGTCTCTGATCAAATTGAAAAATAATAATAATAAATAAAATTAAATTAACATTAGACCAGTATTTATGAATAAGAAGGCACAACAAAGTTAAAGCTGTTTTTAAAAATTAATTATAGTGGAGTCATCAGATGGCATGGTAGTTAAGGCACTGGACTCCCTAGACTCCCATGTGGCTGAATGCAGTTCGAGTTTTCTGGACCTGGCAGCTAGCTTTCTCACTCTCTGTTGAGTACACATGCCCTATAGCAAATTAATAATAATAATGATCATAATAATTAAAATAATAAATAATTCTTAAAATATTAATTATAAAATGACAAAAATGATCATTTTTATACTACTTTAACAGATATAGCTGTCTACTACTTTAACAGATATAGCTGAAATTTGCTATTCAAATCTGGTTAAAAGTATAAGGAAGATCTGTAAATGTATTAATGTCTTAATCATGTAAGTAATAATTAAGTTGAGATAACACTACATATGTACATGTGCAAATACAGGATCACATTCACTTAGTCACAAAGTAAATTTTTGAAAGTAGAAAACTAAAAATGGTATCCCATAGTTTTAAACCAGTAATGTTAATTGTATGTGATATGCAAACTTTAGCCTATAACTAAATATTTTGCCTAAGTTTGTAGTATTGAAAGGTAGATGAAATACACTGGCATACATAATTATCACCATGCCAATAATTTAGATACTTCTTAAAAGTATATGCAGGGACTAGGGAACCAGTAGTTAGCGTAATGGCTATGTCGCTGGACTCCCATGTAATCGACCGCGGTTCGTGTCCCGGACCTGGTGGCTTAAAAAACTCACGCCGGGCGCGTGTGCGTGCGTGCCCAAGATCCCGAGAGGAGAATGGAGGAGAAGGGATTGCGGCGTGACCATCCTCCCTGGGGGGTGATTTCTCGCTTTCTGTCTCTATGTCTCTCTCTGTCTGTCTGGCGAGCGCACGCGCCCTACAGTGAAAATCTCTCTCAAAAAAAAAAAAAAAGTATATGCAGGGACTTAAAAAGTTTGGGGAAAAATACAACTAAAGTACAAGTTTGTTTTGGTACCAAAATTAAAAAAAACATATCCAGAATTGACACAATCAAAAATATTAAAATCCATATAATTTTTTCTTAATACTTGTTTCCATGAACTTTTCAAAGACCCCAGACATTTTTAA